AAAACTCTTTCATTTTGTCTCATAAATCACATAAGTAATATTTTTATCATTAACTAAATAATTCTAGTTATATATCTCAAATAAAATTATTTATTTAGTAAAATAATTTGAGAATAATAATAAAAATAAAATATTTATTAAATAAATAAGAATAATAAATTATATAAAGAAAAAATTCATTTGATATATTTAAATATCATTACATAATACAAAAATAATATAATTTAATATTAAATAATATTTTTGATTAAATACAATATTTTGATACATAACTTAAATAACAAAATTTAAATGTTAAATCATAAAATTATGTAATGATAATATTTTGACAAAATGAAATAACAAATTTTAAATTTATTTGACGTTATTTGATATTTAGCTTAAAAAAGTGATAAAATCATTTTTCATAATATTTCTGATATTATTTTTGAACACGCTTGAAATAACAACAACATATTTAAAAAAGTATACTAATAAAAAAGTTTTTATAATTGAAAAAAAAAAATTTAAATATCTTATAATATTTTATCAAATCAAAAATATTGTTAATTTTAAACAATTTATTATATATATATATATATATATATATATTATCAAAAATAATAGCAGAAATAAAATAATTAAAAAATAATAATAAATAATTAAAATAAATGATTTTTTTTTACTATTATATGTAAATATAATATCTTTTAATTATTTCAAAATTATTTTTATTTTTTGTAATATTTTATACATGTTTATAATAAATAAGACAAAAGAATTAAATAAAAAATGTATATTTAAAATCTGATCTTAGTAATTATAAATTAAATTACTGTACATGATTTACTTGCTTTTGCATTAATTAATTTTAAAATAGTTTTCATTCTTCCTTCTGATCCTACATCATATGTTTCTGGAAATGATGTTTCCTTAGGTCTGCTATATATATTTTGCAAACATTGTTCCCATTTAACTGGCGAGACAATTTGTTTCAATATATATTTTTTCACTGTTCGTAAATTACTATATGGCAAACCTTTATAATTGGAATATACTTTACATCTAGGTTCATTTATTTCTATAGAACTTAACATTTTAAAAACTGATTTTATAGCAGGTTCCATCAATGGTGTATGAAAAGCTCCAGATACAGGTAATCTAGATACATTTTTTAAATTAAATTGTGTTTTATTTTTTTCAATATATTCTAATGCTTCTATATTTCCTGCTATTATTTTTCTTTCTGAACATAAAAAAATAGCAATTCTAAAAACAGTTAATTATATAATTAATATTAAATTATATATTATATATATAAGTTATATATAGTTATATATTAAATTATATAATTATTAAATTATAATAATTATAATTTAAAAACATTACCTGCATATTGGTTTTTCAATACCTATGTTCATTGCCCACTTGCTTGCTTCTTCACAAACTTGTGAAAGTTTTGTTTGTGGTGTACAAATGACGGATAACATTCCTTGAGGTACTTTATCTGCAGCATATTGCATAGCTTTTCCTCTAGTCCATACTAACCGTATTCCATCTTCAAAAGTTATTATACTAGAGACAATTAAAGCAGTTATCTCTCCTACACTATATCCAGCTGTAGCAACACAAGTTTCAAATACTTTAGGTTTTTCTACTTTAATTTTTTCTAGTGCGGCTAAAGATAATAATACTGTAGCAGCTTGATTAAATTCAGTTCTATTTAATTTCTCTTGTGGACCATCCAAACAAAGTTTCAATAAATTATAATTGATTATTTCATTGGCTATTTCAAAAAGTTCCTTAGTACCACTATAATTCAAGTACTTTTTAATCATACCAACTTTGATAGTTCCTTGACCAGGAAATAATAAAACAGAAGTAGTTTTTGGATTAATACTTGGTTTTGTTTCTTTTTTTAGTGAAATATCCTTAGGATATGGAGTTGTCATCCAATTATTATCTTTAGCATCTTCAAATGTTGCAGCTTCTTCAAGTAAATGTAACACTTCTTGTTTCTTATATGAATTTTGCAAAGAGATTTTTTCAAATACATTTGACTTTGGTTCACAATTATTATTCCCATCTTTTATTGAATTATTTGAAATCTGATTTATTCGATTTAACCAATAATATTTTGGTACATAAGGAAATATTTTTTTAAATAATAACTGCTGAAACATTCTAATTAATTTAAAATTTAATATGTATTAAATATTTACAAAATTATATATTTAAAAAATAAAAACTTCTATTGAAAATTAATTTTATCACAAAAAATATATAATATAAGATTTATAATCTATTAATAATTTATATATCATATAAAATATAATCATTTATTTCAATTAATAACTTTTTTAAACATATATATAAGGTTAAGTTATATTATTCATTATAGTTTATTATAAAATTTAAATGAATGATAACTTTATAATAAATAATAATAATAATAATAATAATAATAATAATAATAATAATAGCTTAATAATAAATAAATGATAAAAACTTATCTTGATGTTAACATTTTATTAGCCAATAGTTAAAATCTTAACATCTATCATGTGATTTGATTTGTTTTATGATTTAGTGAAAAAAATATATATATATAATTTAATAATATATAATATATATATATATATATATATGAGCAAAATGAATATATTTTAAGAATATTGAAGATATTTAAATAAAAATTAAAATTATTAATTTAATTTGTATTTATTATTGCTTTATTTAAAAATATTTGTATTATATCATATTAATAAAGTCAAACTAAATTTAGTAATCAGTTTAAGTTGTTAGCCCTGTTCATATTATAGTTTCGACAGTTTGTAACTGTATGAATTCTGCAGTATATAAATTGTGCAAGCAACAATAATTGTGACAGCATATTTTGTTGTAGTACTTATTTTTAGTTTATTTTAAATAATTATTATAAAAATTAATGAATTTAAAAAAATTATTTAATGAATTTATACAAACTATAACGACACGTAACATTTATATGTTAGGAGTTGTTTAAGTTATCATGAACTAATTTCTAAAATACATCGTATAAGTAATTTCCACATGTTTTTTTTGTTTATCAAACTATTAAGTAATAAAACTTATAAATATTGACAATTGCATTTAATGTAGTTAGGAAATAAATCAAGATGAGTAAAAAACGTAATCGACAACCTGATGCAAATGGAGAATTAAGTGAAGGTTCAACTGATTCTTGTAACGAATCAAATACTACAGGTTAGAATTAATTTTTTTAAGATATTTTAATTTTAAGATTTTACTTATTTTTTTATATTAAAATTATATATTTTTTAAATAGTTAGATCATAATATTTTATGTTATTAATTTATATTTTAAAAAATATATTTAATGAATAAATTACAATACAATTAAATTTTGGAGTGATTTAATATAATAATAGTCAAATATTAAATTTATAATTAAATTATAACTAAATTATTAGTTATAAGTTTAACATTAGTAGTTTATATAAATGATTTAATATCTACTTTTGGATCTTCATTAGAAATTTATTAGTTCATGTAATAAATTAAAAATTAATGATAAAAATTAATGATAAAATTAAAAATATTTTAAATTAATTATACA